TTCTTGATGGAGATAGTAAAGTGTAGTGCACACATCTAAATAGTGACAAAGAGTTTCTAGACATTTTAAAGCCTTGGAAAAAAATCTTGCCTCTATTTTAAGAAATATTTGGAAAAATCTAAAACCTGCTGGTACTTTTTAAAAACACATTTTATAATTACTTTTAAGTAATTAACTGACCTATTTATTTGTGATGCTGGGAATAAAACCCAGGACCTCTATAACAGATAAGCACTCTACTACTGAGCTATATCCTCAATTCATATAATTATTTTAATTATAAAAGTATATTTGAAAATATTTTGCTCATAGTTTATGTCAATAGTGTTTAGAAATATTTTCAAATAAGTTTAATCTTGCTAATTGAATTACATTTAAAAATTTTAGGTATAAGCGTTGAGTTTTAATGTATTTTTAGTTTTTGTTAATTTGAGGCTGAACAGAAAATGACTACAGTATTACATTTTATATGTCTCCTGAATAGGAAGAAGAGTGAAAAGTTTAGGAATAATCTAGGGCAATTTTTAAAAAAATATTCAAAATGTATAGTGGCATATGAAGATATTGAAAAGCATAAGTGAAATCATTGTTCAGTGAATAAGAGGTCAGAAATTGATTTTGCAAAGGTCTTTACAGAACTCTTCAAGAGGCTGTATAATAGAATTTTAGGAGGCACTCATGGACTGGATTCCTGTGTATTAGTTATAGTTAAAAGTATTTTTTCATTATCTATGTTCAAACACAATACTTGCTGTATAATCATTTTAACTTAGCGATAGTACTGCTATCAATTTAACGTGTTTTTTTCTTGAGAGATTTTGATCATGAGTTGATTAATGACACAGTTTTTACTTTCTTCTTCAAATCTTTCATTTATTGCTTTTATTTTATTTTTTATCTGCAAAAGAATAACACACTATTGTACCAAATTTCTGGAGTCTGCAGACAGCACAGTTAATTACAACTCTCAGAAAGAACTTCAATGAGAGATACAGAGAGAGGAGATGCATTTACTATGACACACTGTTACAATTAGTTTTGTTTTTTAAAACCCCTATCATGGTATAAAGTAGCTAAAAATCCTGAGTAGGGGCATAGATGATTAAAAGTTGGAGAAAGAGAAAAAGCTACCAGGTATATGAAAGGCCAGGAAAAGGTCCTTAATGTGTTGAAGTGGGAACTGTTTGTTTGACCAAGACAGGTGTTTTTGTACAAAGGGGAGACTTATGGGACTTGTAAGCAAAATTAGTGTTTTTTGAAGTGCCATAATTTTTTGTGTCTTGGCCCTTGGTAAGAAATATTTTTAAAAGCATACTGTTTTATTTAGATATAGTTATTGCTTTGAATACTTTTGCATCAAAATCTTCCCATAAGTTCATGTTCTCAGGGGAACTGTTGTCTTTCTCTGGATCTTTATATTTCCTTTTTTTGTATGCTGGGGCCCGAACCCAGGGCCTTGTACATTATGGGTAAGCACTGCATTACTTAGCCACCCCAGCCCTAAGGCTTTTATATTTCTATTTTTAAATGCCGAAAGAAGTTTGGCACCAGATTTAGTTTCTTTCTTCCTCAGGGTTCAATCACTGTATTTTATTGTTCTTCAGAAACCAGACCACAGAAAGGAAAAGCATTACCAAAGATTGTGTTCTCTCTGTGAACACTTACATTACTCTTCTCCAATTATTTATTTATAGAGGTTTCCCAAGAATTATAGAACATTGGCAGGTAATGTACTAAATTTGATGAGTTTATTTCATATTTACTCATAGACAACTAATTGAGCTTTTTGCTTCATTCAAGCCATCTGTGATTGACTTTTGATATCCTCATATTGTTTCATTCCTTTTAACATCTACACTGTTAACTTATCATTAATCATGTCACACACTTCTTTGTTCTGCTCTAATGTGTAAAATTCTACCTTCTTAAAAGTCAGCACTGTATCTTTCCCTCTTATATATAGGTCTTTCCAGTTGCTTCTACCAATTAAAATTTTCTTTTTTCTTTTTCATGGTGCTAGGCTTTTACTAAGAGTATTACATTATTTCTGCCTTAACTCCTGTCTGGTTCTGCGTGAACATCCAGAGCTGTGCAGAGTTTGAGATTTTACTCTACTTAAAAGCTAACAAATTATTTTGATATAATTTAATGAACCCTCACAGTGTTTTGATGTCATTACAGTAGCTCATTCTACTTATTTAAGTTGAGTCATTTCATTTGAGGTCAATCCCTGGGAGAGACCCTCAGCTTCTAAGCTATAAATAAAAAGATGCACATGTTCTCTGACACTTGTACACTTTTACTCCCTTTTCAATGATTTGATTTTTCAAAAAGTAGTGACATGATAGTGCATCTTTGTCTTGATATCAGCCCTCTACCTACTACTATAATGGTCTCTCTTGTTGAAATATTTGCCTCTTACTCTACTACTGTTAGAATGAATAGTACCAAGGGTAAATCATCATCTTTTACCTCCCTGAAACCAGATGCTAAATCATCTCAGTCCATCACTGTATTTGTAAGCACACATATTAATAATGTGTAAAACCCACCACAAACATATACACACACACACACACACATATATTCCAACACAAATGACTCACAACTTGGATTTCTGTATTGCAAAGCCCTGATTATGTTTCTTCAACATGGTCCAATGATGCTATGGTAATAATAAACCCATTCCCAGGCTTTCAGATCTTGTCTACAGGATATAACAGGCTATGGTCTATGAATCTAACATCCAATTTATATTTATGTTATTCTATCCGGTGTCACCTCTCATTTTTTCTAGCTATTATTCTAAATATTTTAGTACTTCCAAACCTCACATTTGGGACTAAATATTATAGGTATTATTATTATGCCCTCTTTGCTGATGAGAAAATGAAAGCACAAGGAAACTAATTTGCCTAAGATCATACATGTAGTTAGAGGAGAGGATTTTGAACTTTAGCTCTCTGCCTCTACAGTCTTTGCTCATAGCTGGTTGTTTGTTGTCTCTTCAGATTGTTCTAATATGAGAGTTGCAGGTAGTAGATGTTGCTATGTTTCACAGGAGAGATAATAGAGTTAGAGTTTACGATGGTATGAGTTTCAGTTTATTTTTGAAATAGGGGGTAGGTTTGAATATATGAAGAAGAGACAAAATTTCAAGTACACAGAATGAGCATTTCAGAGATGGAACTGATAAAAGTAGGCTTGGAATAAGGAGAAGACTGGATTTATTCTACAGAAATGATAAATAACCAGTGATCTTGGTTACTGCTGAAGGCTTATCCATTAGAACTTTACTGAATTAAAAAAAAACTGAGTGTTTTTCTCTGAGTTCTTAGATTAATTGGATTCTTTTTAAAATACTGCTAATTATATTTCATGCATTGAGAATAATCATTCAGTTTTTCATTTTATTAATAAGGGAATAATAGAATAAAATTCATGGTCCTTATTATACTGTTTTTAGTCTTTTCATTTTTCTTGATCTAGTTCTGACCACACCATCATAATTTGATCAGCTTAACTTTTGATGAAATTAATCTAGCAGGAGGAATTGAGTGTATGTTGAATTTATAACAAATTTCAGAAGAGAAACGTTATTTTAAACATTCTGGTAATTTTTGGTGGAGTAAAGGTTCTGCCATGAAGGTGCTCAGTGTGCTTATGAACCATTTGAACATCGCTTTGTTATATACACAAATCCCCCACACACTATATTCAGAAAGTAGGTATCATGTGAAAGCATCTAACTCTGTCAAAGAAATGTCAATCTTGCATACCCTAGTAAGAATAAGATTTTTTTCCTTTGCTGGGAATCAAGCCCAGGGCTTAACTCAGCTCTTTATAAGGGCTGTGCCACTGAACTACACTTTCATCCCCAGTTACTGTACAAGAATCTTGATTGTGTTAAGAAGCTGATTTTCCTAAACTTGAGACTGAAGAAATCTGAACTCTCCTTTGGGTTTTGTAATTCACCACCAGCTGCTTGAAATATGCATAAAATAAACAATCTACCAACATATATTCATTCATTTGTTATATTTATAAACTAAAGAAGTGTGAAAAGCAAGGAAATAAACTAACACTAAAGGTTATGAAGTGATGGGAAGTTTAGAGTTTGCCAAGTGGGAATTTCTTTGTAGAATCCTTTTGTTATGACTGTGTGGACTCTGATTGTGATTACATTAAGAATTTTGAAACTTAATTTTCTTTTCTGGAATAAAAGAAGCAAATCTCCTTATAACTTTCGATGTAAAATTGTATTTGCAGTTTTCCAGTAACTTTTTAAAAAATAGTAAATATTAACATCAAAGACTATTTTTTCTAACCTAAATGAACTATTGTCAGAATAGTGCCACTTTGTATGGTGCCTTTACCTATTTCTAAGTATAATTTGTACCATAGATTTCTCTGGGCTCTTTCAGCCAAAATGCATTGCCATTTTGGAATGAGACTGATTCCTAGAGTATATACAAAGTTTTATTTTCACTGCCATTGATTTTAACTACATCTGTTCGCACATGCTTGTAAAGTTCCAATGTTGATACCATGTAAAACTGTTGGAAATACTTTTCTTTTGATAAAATGAGCAGAATATTAGCAAAAGTCAAATTCTAACTCATGTTGAAATAAATCTGTACATTAGAAGGCTAAAAATAAAGGTTTACCAATTATTTTCATCCAAACTACTATTGAAAATATACCAAAAGAATGTATATTTTCCAAATCTTTTAAATTGTAAAACATATTCAAATTGTGATTGGTTTTACTCAGTGATTGGGATGCATCTAGCCTTACAAATGTATCCAGCCCTACAAATTTGTGGGCTGGGGATTTAGCTGAATGGTTCTACTGCCTGCCTCGTAAGTACAAGGTCCTGAGTTCGACCCTCAGTATAAGAAAAAAAATGCAATGAACATTATGAAGAATAATAAAAATGTTCATTTGTTAAAATATTAACTCCTAGTTGATAGTGTCTCTTTCCTTTTTTTCTTTTTCAGAATATGTATGTAACTGCTCTAGGACTGGAAGCCTGGATGAGAAGCACTGCAACCAGACCACAGGGCAGTGTGAGTGTCAGCAAGGTTATCAGGGTCTTCACTGTGAAATCTGCAAGGAGGACTTTTACCTGAATCATACTTCTGGGCTCTGTCTGCCCTGTCACTGTAGTCCACAGGGAGCCCTCAGCAAACTCTGCAACAGGTAAGCAGCAGAGGTAGAGGTGTTGTTCATTTTTATTTTAGCAAAGAATAAAAAAGGTTCCTGCCCTCAAGACAAGCCTGGTTTAAACAAAGCGGGAGAAGAATCATAGACTTACAAAATATTTTGTGTGCTTTTATTCCCTGACTTCATGTGTCATATTTAATATGAAGAGTAAAAAGATCCTAATTTACTGATTTATTCTATTTCCAAAATTCAAATTTTGTTGTGATGATTTCTCTAAATTTTATAAAAAAATTATCGAGGAAGGAATCAGCTTTCTGGCATTCCTAATGAAATGTTCTTTTTATATTAAAACATGACTACAGTTTAAGGAGATTGTTCCTTGGTTTACTTTTTTTCTTTTATCAAAATTCTAGATTTGGACATCTAAGGCTTAAACTTGGTCATACTTATTTCTTAAACTAGTGGTAAATAGCCTGGCTTTACTCTAATCACCAGTACATTCTGAGGCCAGAAACAGATTAAATTACCTTTAAAATAGTACGTTATTTGGAGATGACTTAATCTAGCAGAATCATGCCATATTATCTGAGGTATTCTTTGACTTGGTATAAGTCAGTTTGCTTTTTGTGGACCCTGGGCTAAAAAGATGAAGAGGTAATATTATGTAATGAAAAGAACATAAACTTTAGAATCAGTGTAACTTGGATATGAATCCAAGTTCTACTGCCACTTAGGAGTTCTGTGCCTGGGCAAGTCATTTCATTTCACTGACTCAGTTTCTTCTTAGGGTTGTTGTGGAGGTTAAATGAATTATAGTTATATAAAATACTTAGCGTCTATTACTCAAAAATTTTGGTTTATTTTAACTTTAAAGGAATATTGATGGCTTAAATGAGATTTTCTCTTTTTGAAACAGGGTCTCACTATGTAGTCTAGGCTAGCTTCAGACTTGTGATCCTCCTGCTTCAGCCTGATAATCACTATGTTCTTTTAAGACTGAGAATATAGTAGTTGCCTACCATTGTATCCTTCTCCCACTCCTCACTCTACAAAAAAAAAATGCTGGGCAAGATAGCACATGCCTGCAATCCCAGAACTCTGGGAGGCTGAGACTGGAGGATTAAAATTTTGAACTCAGCCTGGGCTCAGGAAAGATCCTGGCTCAGAATAAAAAAGGACCAGCAATTTAACCTTGTGCAAAGGCCTTGAGTTCAATTTCCAGTACCAAAAAATAAAAAAACAACCAAAAAACAAAATGAACAAAAAATGAAACAAAGCCATCCAAGTTATGTTGTGAAATTTCACATTCCTACCAATTTCATGAAATGTCCACTGCATCCTTTAGAGCAAGATTGTACAAACATCTATGCCTTTTGTACTTTGGGAGAATTTTACTTTTAGGCCAACTACCTGGGTAAAGGAGGAAAGAAAGAAAGAAAGAAAGAAAGAAAGAAAGAAAGAAAGAAAGAAAGAAAGAAAGAAAGAAAGAAGGAAGGAAGGAAGGAAGGAAGGAAGGAAGGAAGGAAGGAAGGAAGGAAGGAAGGAAGGAAGGAAGGAAAGAAAGAAAGAAAGAAAGAAAGAAAGGATTAAAAGTTTTAGAAATTGGAGAATAGAAAAATAGTCAATAATATTTATATGATATCTTATCATTTTCATAGTTCTTTTATAAATTGTTTCTGCTTTCTCTTTTTGCTGACAGTTAATGTTATTAAAAAGTTTAAAGCTGAAATGTTATCCTGAAAATAGGTAGTAACCACAAGGTAGTAGAAAAATATTTTAGAATAGTAATCTAATTGTCTATGTATAAGTCTGCTATTCATGGCCCTAAGCCAAAACCATTCCACTTCTTGTGTTCATAAATAAGAGTTTTACTGGAATATAGCCACACTCGTTTGTTTTTGCATTGTCTGTGCCTGCTTTTGTGCTATAACAGCAAGTTGACTAGTTGCAACAGAGTCTAATATGGTCCACAAGCCTAAAATATTTGCAGCCTGGTCTTTTAAGAAAAAAGTTTGTCTACTCTTGTTTTATGTGGTGGTTTATATTCAGTCATGGTGGGTAATGTTAAGTAACTTTAGACAAGTCGTTATAAGCATTGTATAAGCATTTGTCTTTATTTGTAAAAGGGAGGTAATCCTTGCCCATTTTTCTCTTACTTAGATTTATGTTTTAAGGATCCAACAATTATATATATATAATGTATATATAAATCTTTGTAAGCTGCAATTGCTCAATAGTTAATAAAATATATTACTCCTCATTAATAAAATAATAGGAATAGATAAAACAACAAATAAAATAATAACTATTAAGCATGAATTATATTCTAGGGTATTTGCTAACTGCTTAATTCAGTTCATGTAATCTTCACAGAAACTTTCTTGAGGCAAACACTCATTTTCCTGTGTTGAATATCAGAATTCTAATGCTTAGAAGGTTTAGTTAATGTGCCTAATTTTACACAATAAAGCTGCCAGTCAGTCCAACTGAACAAATGTAATCTAGTGTAGAATCCACAGAATGACTTCACAATTAAAATTTTTCCTAATAAGAAAGTGTCTTGCTATTTGATGCTTTATTATTTTTAGTTCAGTAATGATTTTTTTTTTTGCCCCAGAGATTGAACTCGGGTCTTTGCGCTTGCAAGGCAGGCCACCAAACCGCTGAGCTAAATCCCCGGTCCCATATACTACATTTTAAATAAAATGATGCATAGAAAGCCTGTGTTAAGTTGTAGTTACACTTGGTAGAATGTAGAATCACATGTACACAATTTGAAAGTTGCACCGTCGATGAAGAGGATGTATATTACCACATACATTGAACTCGGGTCTTTGCGCTTGCAAGGCAGGCCACCAAACCGCTGAGCTAAATCCCCGGTCCCATATACTACATTTTAAATAAAATGATGCATAGAAAGCCTGTGTTAAGTTGTAGTTACACTTGGTAGAATGTAGAATCACATGTACACAATTTGAAAGTTGCACCGTCGATGAAGAGGATGTATATTACCACATACAGCTGCTCTTAACAACCAGAAATTGTTTTTGATCAGGGAGTGGTATTTTAAATATTTTTTATCCTAACCTGGGAGTTTATTCCTTTTTTATCAGTGCTTGACTGTGTTTTGTATATCTTAAGAACTTACTTAATCTTCTTTATGCTGGCAGTTGAACACATGACTATATCTCCAGCCCCATCTTGAGTTGACATAAGTGAAGTGTAATTTTTTTATAGTTTAACATTTCATGTAGAATATCTGATTTTCAGTAATGGATGACAGATGCTACATAGGAGGTAAAAGATACCCATAATTACCATCTGGTAGACATGGGCTATTTTCTTTTTTTTAAATGTTCAAGATAAATTCCAAAGGTTTATTGTACCAAATGCCACAGAAAATGGATCAAATAATATATGAACAAGTTTTAAGAAAAGTTTCCCATACATTGGCATTGGTATCTATTTCAACTGATAAATTTCTAGTAATGAAGCTTTAATAGTAACAAATGGGCTATTCTCTGTGTGTACCTGGTAGGTTCTGTTATTCTTTATAGGAATCTTTTTAAAGAAATGATTGAACATATGAATTTATATGTTGAAGTATGTTGGTTTCTCAAACATTTTGTTTTCTGAGTGTAATCTGGAAAGACCTTGCTTCCTCTGTAATCCATACAAATAATGACTGTTTTCTTTCTTGTATTCCTTTTACATCTAAGTCTAGAGTTGAAATAAATATTTTACTTATGCCTTTTTTGCTACTGCCAGTGTGTTTTCCCTTCCTCCTTCCTAAAAAAGCCCACTTATAAATCTTGACAGCAGACTGCACTGTTCCACCTCCTTGTTGCCATTCCCACTGTGGTTTCACCCCTTATTTCATATACATGGCTCACTGATATCTCTGTGACACTATACCTGCCATGGTTTTGGATGATTACCATATCTATAGAAAACAATAACAATGCTTTACCATTTCAGTTTCTTGACTTTTCTTCCAATGACTTCCTCCGTGCTCCTTCTAATCTTTCTTTTATTTGCCCTACTTTTTGTTTATCTTTGGCCCCCAGAATAAGCATGTTAAAATTTTGAAATAAACACATAGTTTTCTGTGGGTACTGAAGGGTAATATTTATTTTTTAATTTAAAAAATATTATTTTGGGATATGAGGTAATTTGTCAGTATAAGAAGTGCATCACAAGTCATTTAAAAGCCTGTACTTAAAGGAAATCCTTACAAAGAAAGAATAGGAGCTCTAGGTCCACATAACACTAAGCTCTTCATTTTTTAGTACCAGAAATGCAGTTAAGTTGACATGAGACTAGAACAGAAATGGGAAACTGCAGGACTCTGTCCTTTGCAAGAACATCTGAGTTAACAATGAGGAAACACTATATTCTGCTCTGCTATAAAATGTGTGTGGGTGTGTTAGGGAAAATAGAAATTGTTGACAGATAATATGATATGTTTAGCAGAAAGGGATAGGAATCTGTAGTTGTAGACTTGGATTCTCTTCATGGGTTTGCCACTTACTATCTGGCTAATGATTTACTAGCTTAATAACTTGTTTAAGCTATTTGAACTCTCTGAACCTCAGTGTTTTCATCAGTAAAATAGGATATATATATATATATGATATCTATCTATATAAATAGATAGATATGGATTTTTAGTGAGACTTAAGGTGTATTTGTGTGTTTGTGTCTGTCTGTCTTATTTACAGTGTTGCTGGTACATAGATTCAGTTCAGTATCTCCCAAGAAGTTGTATCTATTTTTTGTTTTTGTTTTCATTTTTGAGATGGGAGTATTTCTGTTTTCCTCAGACTGGTTTCAAACTCCTGGGTTCAAGTGATCCTCCTGCCTCAGCTGCATGAGTGTTGGAACTACAGACATGCTCCATCATAGCCAGCTGTTTTGTTTTTTTAACTGAGGAACACAACTAGTGTCTCACAAGAGAAAAGTAAGAATTGGGGTATTTGTTTTATATTGGTAAGTTAAGAAGAAATAATTCATTATAACAAGAAAATTCACTTAAT